AGAATTATCTCTGTAAGATTTTATAGCCTCACTTTCAAAGACAAAAGCATTGCACACAGGGTAAGTCGCTGATTAACACCCAAGACTCTTCACACCTAGGCTCAATCTGTTTTCCTATCCTCTCATTGTAGAACTCCTGACTTCACATGCCCCTCTGGGTATTTCTGGCTCCTCAGCATAGAAAATATCATCCTTCCTGAGCAAGAATTAGTAAACAGGCAAGACGTGTTTTGTATTGTGAATTTTTGATCTTACTGTTTCCTCAGCTCTGTGTCTTTTCTACATTGGATCATGCTGTGTGTCACATTTCTGGAGCCTTCTCTTCCTACCTCTCTCTTTTGTCATTGCTGTCTGAATTTTTGGCAGTCTTCCTGCTTGTGTCCTGGCTAGAAGGTGACCTTACATGCATATACTATTTTCCCAATCTTATAGAGCTGGTATGCAGTCAGACCCTAGCAGAAGGTCAGGGTGTACAACCTGGCTCTGCCACTTGAGGACAGTTCAACTGCACAAAGGACTAAGGGTTAAGATATGGGCAGTTCTACTGGCATGCTCTCAGGGATCTAGCAATTGCTTATGGTATCACCTGCCACTATCATCATCAGCAGATAAACAGACTGCCATGACCCCAGCTCTCTGTTTTTGGTTTTTGGCATAATTCTCTCTCCTCTTTTTTTTTTTTTTTGTCCTAAGCACACCCCTTCTCTCTCTCTCTCTCTCTCTCTCTCTCTCTCTCTCTCTCTCTCTCTCTGACTCCTCTCTCAGCCCTCATGGCTTTGCTCTCATCTGTCTGCCTGTCTATACATCCACTCATCTGCCTCTTCCCCTTCTCCAGGTTCTTACTTTTCTCCCTTCCCCCAACAAACCTCCTTATTCCAGATCTGTTACACAGCATAATTTCTTAGGGGCACACCTTGGCATGAACCCATCATGGTCCCTGCCTTGACGAATTATATTTCAAACACTAAGAATGAACTTGAGTTTAAAAACATCCCATTGTCTTGATTTTCTTAGGGTTCATGTGCTGAGATGCATGCAAGACATGCATCTTGCACACATATGGCCAGAAGACAACTTTCAACTGCTGCTTCTCTTTTTCCATTTTGTTGAGAGATGGGCTCTTTTGTTTCCACCCTGCTGAATACTCCAAACTAACTGACCCATGAGCTTCCTGTCAAGTCTCTGCCTGTCATCTAACCACAGGACTGCTGGAATTACAGATAGGTGCTACTGCATCTGGTTTTTGTTTGTTTGTTTGTTTATTTGTTTTTGTTTGTTTTAATGTGGGGTCTAGAGACTGAACTCAGGCCACAGGCTTCTGCTGCAAGTGCTTTATGCTTTTACCCACTGAGCCATCTTGCCAAACTTGCTTTGATTTTCATATTGTTCTTGAAGTCTGAGGTTATCCCAAGAGGCTTACCCTCATCATTAAGTGGTTTTGTCTGGTGGATTAGATCAAAGGATTTTTCTGAGTGTCTTGTAACTTGGGTACATGTACAGAATTGGTTATTCTAGTTCAGTTTTTTTTCTAGGCCTCTGTCCTGTGCAGGTGTTGCTGAGTATGGAGCTCTCCATGCTTTGTCTTGTTCTTTCTGGACTGGAATAATCCACATGCTACAACTTGGTGTCCTGTCACTCACATCCTGCACTTTCGCTCACACCTGTTTTTCACATCTGCATGCTGTTCTAATTCCTGGCTTTTTTTTTCCTCCTTGTTTTTTCATTTGTTTTACAAAATTTCCATTTGAGTATTTCCTGTCCCGGACAGTGGTAGTTCATGGTTCCGTATTCCATAAGGACATTGTCATACAAGTATACATTGCATGTTGAATGTATTCTCCACCTACTCCCAATCTTTCCCTCCCTTCCTCTCCATCTTTTAAGTTATTCTATTTCTCTAGAAGATTACAGTTCTACTTCATGCCATATGTATAGATAGGATTTTGTACATCTTTTTAAAGATTAAAAATCATACATGAAATTATACAATATTTGTTTTTCTGACTGGCTCAATTCACTTAGTATGATATTTTTCATTGATTTGTTTTCCTGAAAATGACATAACTTTTTTCTCTTTGGCTGAAAATTCCATAGTGTATATAACCACATTTTCTGTATCCATTCTTATGCTGCCACATCTCCAGGTTGGTTACATGACATTTGTATTGTGAACAGTGCTGCAGTAAACACCAGTGTGCAAGAATCTCTGTGATACGCTGACTTGGAGTCTCTTGGGTAAACACCCAGAAGTGCTGCAGCTGGATTTTACTGTCCATCTATATTAAGATTGGTTGAGTGAATCATTATTCCATTCTATATATTCTGAGTATGAGGAAAGAACACACCCATGCCACAGTGCATAAACAGTCAGAAGAGAAGTCAAGTTGATTTCTTCATCATGTGGGTACTGGGAGTTGAACTTACATTATCACAGTTGCTGAGAGGCAGCTTTACCTACTGAGCTATCTTACTAACCCTTATTTCCAAACTGATCTGTGTAGATGGACTAGTTTACACCGCAATCAACAGTGTCTGTGTTCCCTTTTGCCCACATCTCACTAGCACTTATTATTTCCTAAAGATTGCTGTTCATACTGGGGTAAGACAGCATGTGAATACAGCTTTAATTCATATTTCTAATACCTAGTACAGTTGACTTTTTTCATGTGTTTATTAGCTATTTGTATTTCATCTTTGAGAATTCCTTATTTTATGTTGAAGTTGATTAGGTTGTTTGATTTTTGCAATATATTTTTTGAATTTTTTTTGTTTATTATTTATTTGTGTTAGTCCTTTGGTAGGTAGCAAAGATTTTACCCCATTCTGTAGGCTATCAATTCACTTGACTAGCAGTTTCTCTTACTTTCATAAGCTTTGGAATTTCATCAAGATTGTGATAGCTAATCTTAATCACCAGCTTAATGGGATTTAAAATCACCAGGACGCCAGAAATGGTGGTGTAGCTACTCATCCTGGCACCTGGGAAGCGGACAGCCGTGAATTCCAGGCAAGTGACCAAATGGCAGCATGGCAGGGCCACAAAGTGAGGGTCCCTTTACCTCTCGGGCAGGTGCTTCAGTAAGAGGGAGATCTTAAAGGCATAGAGAGAAAGCTGTTCAGACATGCAGGGGAAACCAAAGGAGCTTACAGAGAGATCCACTGAACAATAGAGAATATGCACCTTTCCCACTTGAAACACACACACACACACACACACACACACACACACACACACACACACACGTATCTATGCACAGCATTTCATTGCGTAGCCTCTGCTAGCCTTGAACCAGAGATCCATCTGCCTCTGCTTGAGTGATGGGATTAAGTTTTGATGGCTGATACAAAGTCGTTATTTATTTTTATTTTTTTAACATCACTTTAGTCTGGGACAAGAGCATGGAGGAGCCAGATAACGGTTAGGAATACAGATTAGTGACTGCTGTTAGTCCACAGCACAGAATAACTTCTTGATCCGTCCCAGGGAGAGAGCTACAGGGTGTGTGGTCAGATTTCTTTATGCTATGGGATCTGGCTTCTTAGGTCTCTTTTCTAACAGGCACTCGTGCTTGTTGGTCTCTGGTGAGAGCCTCACGGCCAATGGCATCATCACATGGTACAAGAGGAAGCAAGTGAACAAAAAGGGGCTAGTCTTGTTCCATGTTCCACAGTGGAACTAGCCACTCCTATCAGCCCTGACCAACGCCTGTGGAATAGCATCAATCTGTTCATCAGGGTGGGGGCCCCTTGACCTAGTTGGAGAGACTATGTGGCAGGCACGTACTTCCATCTGACAAATGGTGGATGACAGAATATGTGACTTCACACCTGCATCAGGTATTACCTAATAGCTTCCCAGAACGGTTGAAATAATCAACCATCTACCAAAAGCATCAAACTTTAACACAGCCAAATCCATTCATTTTCATTAATACATATTTTTTAAAAATGTTTTATGATGTTCATAAAACTTGATATCTTAAGAACGAATCTGACCATAAAAGTTACGGATACACATATGGCTTTATTTTCCAACCAAAGTCTAGCATTTCACCTTTCACACGTACAGCTTTTCACCACCTGGAGTTTATTTTTGTGTGTAAAGGCAGAGAAAAATTCTCCTTTGTGGGTAGACAATTGCTCCATCAGCACAGACACGTACTTGCAATAGATCCTTATCAACTCAGGTAAGCTCAGTCCTGCTTTACACGTTCTCAGTAGCTTTCACCACGCCCTTCTACAGTACTCTTACTAAACTAAGCCACGTATTGCAGTTCTTTTTCTTGGCGCTTGCCAGAACTTTTCTATTGTTTTTTTCCACAAGTCACGTTCTGCCTTTTTTTTTTTTTTCCTCCCCTACACTGTAAACGTTTTACACAAATGACATCATTCAGTACACCTTTTCATCTTCGATAGATTTTCTGTTTTAATCTGGAGTTTAGTTGAGCCTTGACAGGAAGGACCTTCCCTGTGCTGCAGGCTGTGAAAGCATGCATTCGTACATTCGAACTACATTTGTCAACCTGAGCCTTTAACAGCTTGGCTGTTGCCACTGCCATCATTTTGTAAGATAACTAGTGGTTTTCTGGGGTTGGTGCTAACAGCGAAGCCCATCAAGGACCCTGGGTCGTCTGAGTGTGGCCTGGTCTTGCCTGGTTTGGGCTACGAGCCAGGACCCAGTTCTAAGGCAAGGAAGGTGTCCTTTGGGCCTTTCACTCCCTGCAGACAGCCGCGTGTCCCCAAAATAGAGAGCAGTGCAATGTCTCTCGGAAGTCACCCCCTGTCCTAGCACGACATGCTGTCACCACCTCAGAGCCAGGGCACCTACGCTCGGGCAGCAGAGTTCTCTGGCGACTTCTAGAACCTCGCCAGCCTCTGCTGCCTGGTTACCACACAGGGCCAGGCCGGACCCCAGCGCGCCGTTAGGTCCTGGGCTGGGCGCCACAGCCCGGAGTGGCTGACCTCGCCAGGCGACATAATAGTTCACGGGGAGAACTCACAGGACTCGGAGGCCAGCGGGGCTCCACCCGCCGCGTCTCCGGCGTCTCAGCCGCGGCCTTCGGGCGCGTGCCACGCGCGGGGCCGCGGGTCGCGGGTGGCGCGCGGGGCGATGAGGCGGCGTCGAGCACGCTCCCTGAGCCGCCGGCCCCCGCCCCGCGGCCGCCGCACGCGCGCGCCCGGACTGCATTTCCCATAGGCCCGAGCGGCGCGGCCGTGCGCGCCAGCCAGGCCCAGCGCGGCCCAGGCCGCCGGGCCGCGCCC